AATCAGTCTCCATTTGTGGTTACAACCCCTTGTTGTAAAGCTTAGATCTAGGAAATATATAAATAAAATTTCATCCAAAAGGACACCGTTTAGTGTCCTTTTTTTCATGGATTCTCCATCACCTGTATTGTCTTACAGATAGACATATATAGTTAGCAATATAACAAGAAAGGCCTTTCTACAGCACCACCACACACAACTATGTGTGTAAGGCCGTGCACCTCCAGAAACATCAAGAAACCATCTCTTAACCAACCTATTTGAAATCCATCTGCTCAAGCAAAAACAAAACAAAAAACCCACTATCACAGGCTCTCAGCTAACCAGCTAAACAAACTGGCCTTAATTTGAAGTTTCGGTCCAGTTTATATCAGACCAGATGAAGTGCATGTGTCCCTGACAGTGCCATCCCTTACTCTAGTAAAAGACATTTCCTATTAACACTGAAAAGCTGTTCCAGACTCTCACTGCCTGGTTAGAAAACAGTTTCTATTTCATGGCCTATTTATACTTTGTTGTTCCAAATCTAGTATTTCCTTTCTATATAAGCAACTCTTTTCTTTATTTCTGATATATCTAATAGAGTTTAACCCCAAATCTAGCCCCTTAGCCTTTTTTTAGTAGGCTAAGGCTACTAAGGCTAAGTTAGCTGAACCCCATGCAGTCATCTAAAAAGAGAGATTTTCTCATACCTTTGTGTTTTCTAACATCTGATCTTGTCTTTTTTATTTTTTATCTGCTGTTCCTATATGTCAGGAGGCCTTACATGATGTTTAGGTCAATCCATTATAATATTTTGGCAAATATCATTATTTATTTTCCTAATGCTGTATAAATTAACACTGAATAGTGCTGACTGGAAGGACTCATAATATATCTTTATTATTACAGTATTATTTACTACAGTAACCCACAGAGCTATTCAATGAATGGGAAAAGGCTCCTATTTCACAGCTCAGAAAAAGAAATGAGATACAAAGTGCCTTCACAGCTATTAAATTATGTCCTTATGCAAGACTGAACAGCAAAGTCTTATGTGCATTAGGGAAAAGCTCTGTATATATTACAATTCATGAGGCCCCCCAAATCCTTAAATATTAGATCTGCTGCATTGACTACAGAAAAGTGTCACACTCTGTCTTCATTACACCTTTCCTACCCTCCCAGATAAATTCAGCATGTCTTGTGACATGCTCTCTTAGTCAGCTTGGCTAATGGTGAGGGAGTCTCTAGTCCTAAATTATTCTTAGCTGTTTGCTAAGACCCCCTGAGCACTGCCATACAGGGGTCTGAGGATCCTGTTCCCCCACCTGGAATCCAAAGAAATGGCATGGGGTTACAATCAGCACTTCAGTCTTGTATATAAATAGCTCTTAAAAGCAAGGGTTGAATGTGGAAAACACTGAATGATCCAGCACTTCTGCAAAAGACCCCTAATCATCTTCCTGTGCCGGATTTCTCTGGGTACCCTGCACTCAAGGGCTATCCCAAATACTGTACCCCTAAAGACTAGTTTGGACTGTGTTACTTGCAATCACCAGCCTCTATGTCAAATATCTCCATTTCTTCTCTTTTCTGTTTGTGACTAAGAAGGGATCAATGTGCACAAGCACCTTAGTCATTTCAGTCTGCTGCTGATGCTGGGGCTCCTGAGCCCAACGGTATCATTGGGCAGGCCCTGGGCACTCGTGCATCCAAACCTTGTAAAAACACCACTGCACCTTCCTCTTGGACACCTTGTCCCCTCCGGCGTGGCCCAGAGTCAATCTTTGAGCACAGTGCCATCTGCTGAGTCGTCAGGTACAAATAAAGTCACACTTCACTCTAGACTAAAACAGAAAAATACTCGGGACAGGATAATTTGAAACTTGACCTTGAGTGGCATCTTCGAAACACATTTTCTGCAAGAGAGGCAATGATAGGCCTAGCATTTCACCAGAAATGGGTTGTTTGTGCTAGGAAGTTGCTCACTTAGGTATCAGCCTAAGAAACAAGACAAGAAATCAGCCAAGGGCCTGATTTCTTGTGGTTTGGAGCTGTTAGCCTCCTAACCTGGCTTTCACACAACTGCAACTCAGACTAAAATGGTATCTTTGGCATCTGAAGACCAAGATACAGAAAGTTACTGAATAAATCTAAAAGGAGCCCAAAATATGGTGTTTGTTTTGCCACACCAGTGCTATGCCAGCTGTTTAGAGCTGCTATCACCGCCTCTCTGTGGAGGAACTTCTTGGAGTCCTGGGAATCCAGTGCTCTTTAAAAAAGACTTAATTCACCCTTTGGAGTCTTCCCCCAGCAACTTTGTGTGCACAGTCCTTCCAGGTGCTGTATTTCCCCACCTCAGCATCTCCTCCACGGGTAACCCTTTCCTCCAGCCCATGCTGCTGTGACTCTTCTCCTGCTCTGGTGCTGCAGCTGTTTCCACACAGATGCTCTCTCCCCTGGGTGTTTCTGCAATGGGCCTTTTCCATCCACCATGATATGGCATGAACTATGGCCTTTCTTCTCAACAGACTTCTTGGTGTCCCCATCTACTCTTCTCCCCCTGGACCTTTGTGAAGTTGGTGTGTAGTTGACTATCATAGACACCTAACTAGATGGCTGAATATTGCAGGCAGCTCTAGCTCGACTCACTCTCCCTCACTTGGCTGTAGTCATCTAGACTTTCTGCAGTGTTTCTGCTCTGAAACTCTTTCAGTCTCTCTTCTATCTTATGCCACAAAAGCTTTATGTTAAACTTGAGGTTCTCTTTTCCCTGGAATTACATCTACAAGTAAATATCCTTCTTGTTTTCCAAGAAGGAGCATTTTTAGTTCTGTTGACCAGATACTTTGTCTAATGTATGGTGTATTTTCCAATGGAGTTAAATGCATTGGCAGATGGCAAAAGTCATATCTTTCAAATGAGAAAGTGGGAAAAAAAAAGGAAATGCACTTTTTTTTTCTTCTGCTGTCAGTGGACTAGTAGGTTTTAATTATGCCTGTATACAGGTGGAATATTAGCTCTGATCTGTTACTTCAAGTGCAAATTAAACTGCCTTTCAAAGCAAATTAGCAGATTTTTCAAAGCAAATTAAGCTGTTTTTCATATTTTATGCATAGAGACTTTACTGTCTTTGCTTTTTTTGAGCTTTTTTTGTTAACTGTGTTTTAGAACTAAGAGGTTTATTCACACTGTTATATTAAATGAGGCATCTTGCTGCAAGGAGAGCTTACCGTTTTATTCAACTGTGATAATTTCCCTCATGTTCTAGCATGAAACACAATTAAGATATAGAAATATTCATTGGTTTCATGAAGTCCTGTGTGTGGAGCTCTTTTCTCCCACTAAATCTTTTCTTAGGGAATCCCAAAGGATTTCAGGGACTCTTCATGTTGGTCTAGCGCACTCCATAGAGGCATTAAAAAAATACATGGACTTCATCAGGATCCTCGGCCTTATTTTTCAGGTACTACTCTGTATTATTGCAAGTGGCAAGAGCATGGGAATTTCTTAGTTAATATTCAGGACTTATGAAATTTTGCTCACATTAATTTGGGCAACTCATTACTTTTGGTGGGTAAGCAGGGACATTGAGAGCTGGGGATTTCAAATCAGTCTCTTTGTTATTCCAGAGCAAATTATCTTTACACAAAACGACTCACACTCTTATCTCCTGAATTACCAGCAGGAGAGAGCCTGTGCTGACTGCAGTGCAATAAAAATGAGAGCACGTTGTTTTCATTTCAGGAAAGCAGCAGCCACATTGCTAAAGGAAGTTGTTTCTTTAGTAACTTTTTAAATGTCATCATTTTGGTTCAGTCCAGCTGCCTATGGAAACACGGCTTGCACAACCACACTGCAACCCGCTCTCTGGCTATTCCTCCTCCTGACTCTTGAAGCTACTTGCTGGAATCAAATGGATTTGACAGAGCAGCTGAAGAGTCATAGAATCATAGAATGCTTAGGGTTGGAAGGGACCTCTAGAGATCATCTAGTCCAACCCCCCTGCACACGCAGGGTCACCTAGAGCACGTGGCACAGGACTGCATCCAAGTGGGTTTGGAAGATCTCCAGAGAAGGAGACTCCACAACCTCTCTGGGCAGCCTGGTCCAGTGCTCTGTCACCCTCACTGTTAAGAAATTTTTCCTTAAGTTCCTGTGGAACTTTTGGTGTTTCAGTTTGTGGCCGTTTCCTCTGGTTCTGTCGGTGGCCACCAGTGAAAAGAGGCCAGCACCATCCTCCTCACTGCCTCCCTTGAGGTACTTATAGACACTGATTAGATCCCCTCTCAGCCTTCTCCTCTCCAGGCTGAACAGGCCCAGCTCTCTCAGCCTCTCCTCATAGGGCAGATGTTCCAGGCCCCTGATCATCCTTGTAGCCCTGCGCTGGACTCTCTCCAGCAGCTCCACATCCCTCTTGTACTGTGGAGCCCAGAACGGGACACAATACTCCAGATGCGGCCTCACCAGGGCTGAGTAGAGGGGCAGGAGCACCTCCCTCGACCTGCTGGAGATGCTCTTCTTAATGCACCCCAGGATCCCATTGGCCTTCTTGGCCACGAGGGCACACTGCTGCCTCATGGTCAACTTGTCGTCCACCATGACACCCAGGTCTTTCTCCGCAGAGCTGCTCCCCAGAAGGTCGGTCCCCAGCCTGTACTGGTGCCTGGGGTTATTCCTCCCCAGGTGCAGAACCTTGCACTTGGCCTTGTTGAATTGCATGAGGTTTTTCACCGCCCAGTTGTCCAGTCTGTCCAGGTCCCTCTGGATGGCAGCACAGCCCTCTGGGGTATCGGCTACTCCTCCCAGTTTGGTATCATCAGCAAACTTGCTGAGGGAGCACTCTGTGCCTTCATCCAGGTCATTGATGAATAAATTGAACAGGACTGGACCAAGGACTGACCCCTGGGGGACCCCGCTAGCTATAGGCCTCCAACTAGACTCTGCACCACTGATCACCACTTTCTGGGCCCTGCCATCCAGCCAGTTCCTAATCCAGTCAAAGATAAAATACTCACCTGTGTGTCGGGCAAGGCCACCTTGCTGAATGCCACTGGGCAGGGCCCCGGGAAACATCTCCGGATACTTTCCCAGGATTATCTCCTGGCACCCGGGTCTCTGTAGCCACAGCTGGTGTCTGTATGTCCGTACTCTCCTTTCCCATGGCAACATGTTAAAACTGCTCCTGCTCTGCTTGTGCGCTCCATCTGCAAAGCACCAGGGCAGGGTCCTCCAATGCTCTGATGGAGGGAAAGCCACAGTGGGATCGGTCTATCCCATTACGCGACTTTTCCCATTAGGTTCCCCATCACCTTTTGTCCCTTTCCTATTTCTTAGGTCCGAAGCACCTTATGATAAATTGTCCTGAGTAAGGAGAAGTGTGAAGCATGCATGAAGAATGGCATTTTCGCATTTTCTCCCTTGCCTCTTGGGCATTGGCCAAGGAAGCTGTCACAGATAGCAGCAAATAAAGCTCTTTGCCCTAAAATGGTCTTTTACGAAGCAGTGGAGGAATTGAAATATCCCCAGCGGCAAGCTTCACACAGCTCTATAATTTATTGTGACAGCCACACAAAAACATCTCCTCAGTGATGTGGCTGAGAAGAAACCCTCTTGTCTGCTTCTGTCTCTATCAGCAGGCTAAAACATTTCACAGGGTCCTTCCCTTATAGAGCTCTGCGACTTCCAAGCCATCCCACGCTGAGCTGGAGTGGAGCTGAAGCCTGTACCTTGTCTAGCTCATGAGTCTTCATGGCCTTAGTGCTACTTTGGATTAGCTGGGGTCAGGGCTGGCCCCATGGACTTCTTGCCACTGCTATTGTTTTTAACGTGATCTGCTTGTAATGATTGAGTGTTGTAATTTCTGCAATCACTTTAGATTTAGATGGTCACTGAAATGCTGATAGGTTAGTACTGGTGGTAGAAAAGAAAAAAAAAACACTAAATTTCTTTCCTGTGGGTTGTTTTTATAAATGGTACAAATCTTTTTGTTAAAACAGATGAGGATAATTTTTACTAAAAAAGGTAACAAGTCCAATGCACTTAACACTTAAGAGAACAAAGTCGGATTTTTCCCATTTGAGGGTGACAAACAAATGTAGGAAATGGGGTACTATCTTTATGTGTGTTTTGACTTCCGAGTCATCAAGTGTGGAAAAGCCATAGGGCAAAAGTGCTCACCCTATATAGAGAGAATGCAAACCAAAAATAAGACAGCATTTCTACAGGGACTTTTCCCTCTTCCCACACTAATCTCTAAGTGGCCATGAAAATCCCCGGTGAGCACAACAGCTCCCAAATGCACTTTGTCTGCGAATCACAAATGAGTAATATGTGGATGTAAAAGCTCCAACTGGTCTTAGAAGGGTCACTGAAATGAAATGATAATTTCAATACCTATGACTCTACCATGCGTGGCACCATTTCCAGCTCTATCCATGTCGCAAAGACCAGGAAGAGATGTGGGAAGAGCTGTTTTCTCTTTTGGGACAAGGAGCTTTATGACATAATTGAAAAAAGAAGCTAAGCCTGCGCAACCCCAAGCTGTCTGGGTCTGACTGCTCAACTGGCGAATCTTAGTCACACAGCATCTCAGAATCACAGAGATCAGAATCTCTGGAGATCATCTCGTCCAACACCCTGCCCAAGCAGGGTCACCTAGAGCATGTTGATTGCATCCATGTGGGTTTTGACCGTCTCCAGAGAAGGACACTCCTCAACCTCTTTCAGTAACTGTTTCTCACATTAAAGAAGTTTTTCCTTATGTCCCTTCATGATGTGCTTCTTCCACTGCATGTGGAGAGCATTACACTCCTCCAGAAGTGTTTTCTTCTCTTTCCTTACTGTATGGAGGAACTTGGCTCCACATTTGACCACTCAAATAAACCTCTGTTAAGGACAAGCCTTAATCTCACTCTTTTCTTAGGTGTTAAGCTGCCTTTTAAAACTTTCCAGGGTCTGGGATTTAAAGAAATATTAGGAGAATCATGCTTTTTCTCTCGAAATGGTCTTACTTTATAGCTGAAGAAGCAGCTATAATTGTTGTTTTACTACTCTGCCCTACTCTGCCCATCCTCCTGCTCTTAACTCCTTCCCAAGGATTTACCAATGCCTCCTCACATGGCGTTTATTGCTTTTCAAAGTGCCAGGCTGTTGGTCTGGTAAATGAGAGATCTTTTTGTTTGTTTTTTTTTGTTTGTTTTTTGTTCTGTCACCTTCCCTGCTGATAGTTCTCATTATCTTGTAAAAAAAAAAAAAAAAAAAGATACACCTCCTGTTATTTGGTGGTCTTTCATAGTGGCTATACCATTGCACATAGACTCATAGAATCACTAAGATTGGAAAAGACCTTCAAGAACATCAATTCATGTGTTTTATTAAGCTGATGGCATGCAAAGCTGCACACAGCTTTCAACTGCTAGCATTTTCTTCTCCTTGGTAGGACCCAATATGAGTGACTTTTTTTTTTTTTTTAACGCAAAGCCTTGAGCACTGCTCCAACCTGGGAATTATATTTGTAATTAAGCGTGCAAATCTGACAGCTGAAGGCAGGGCTGTTCCTTCTCAGGCGCTTCAGCAGCTCCCTGCGGGTGACTAATGCAGCAGGTAACCTTTCCTTGTCTTGCAGAGCCTCTTTGAAAGCGTTTCCTAACCACACGTCAGTCCTTATTAGCACTGCTGCTTGTCCCAGAGCCGTGCTACCTGTCAAATCCCCTTGCTCGTGCAAGGAAACAAGCGCTTTCCAGAGGAACAATGTCACCCTGATAATCACCCCCTCGCCCCCAAACTGTCACCTGCTGGCGGGAAGTGAACCTGGCCTGTAACCTTACATGCACCCTGCTACTGCGGTGACACCAGAAATATGACTTAGCCAGCTCTTCAGGTTATGTATGTGACAGATTTTTGCAAAGAGCTTTATCAATCACAGCGATAGGCAGAGCCATGGAAATTGCACACGGTGTGAACTAAGTACTTATTCTTCACTCCTGATTTCTGGAAAGAAAACTAAATTTTTCTATAATAAAAGCTTCTGCAAAGGAAAATTTCCTTCTTCTTTTTTTTTCTTTTTTTTTTTCTTTTCCTTTTTCTCTCGCTGGAGCAGGCACCAGCCTGTGGGGTCCTTTGCTTCCCCCTGCTGACACCCAGCCGCTGTGCAGGGTGGGCTGTGGCTCCAGCCAGGAGTGGGAGCAGGAGAGCGGCGCGCGCCGGTGTGCGGAGAGTTGCGGGAGCGGGAGAGGAGCGGGAACAGGAGCCGCCGAGATCCCACCTGCAGCGCGCGGCTCCGGAGGGCCGCAGGACTCCACGGCCAGCGCAGTCTTCCTCGTCGACGGCTTCATCCTGTGGTTCCTCAGCCCGATCCCACACACGTTGGGGTGACGGACTTGGCAGCTCTCAGGTAAGAGTGATTTGCTGAGAAGTTGATGGTATTCCAGGAAGACCCGTGGAAATGAAGCCAACATGGGGCTGTGTGGCTTGTCAGGAAGAACTAGCTTTGGGTATCGACTTTGGATACGATGCTCTGAGTATTTTAGAGAGAAAAAAGAAATCTCTCCATTGGTCACCCCTGTTTTCCCAGGCCCTGCTGTGACCAGGTGAGCTTGCTGTGTCCCAGATGGACCAGGCAGCCCTCGCGGATCCAGAGGCGCTGCGCGGGAGCCGGGTTTAGGGAATACCGGCGGATGCTGAGGGACTGCTGTGTGCACCAGCCCGAGCAGCACAGCACGGCTGAGCTTGGGCAGAGAGGGCTGGTGGAGCAGGGCAGACGTGGAAGCGGTTCCTGTCTGGACTGAGGCACGGAGGGGTTCAGGGTCGCGGGGGTCAGGGATGTCCTTTTTGGTCAGCACACCTCTTTTGACCAGTGTAAACCTTGTGATAAGGATGAGGAGGAGGGAAATAGCTCAACGTTAAAACTGCCTGAGCGCAAGAAGGGACCAATGGGACCCTCCTATGGACTCTGCCCGCTGCTGCTCACTGGGACCAGCAACTGAGCAGAGATTCTAGATCCAGCAGTGCGGGACGTGGCACGAGCAGGAACGATTCGCGGGAGGAGATCCAAATATGACTTTTCCCAGTCGTGGATGAGTTTTGTTCTGCACGTGGTGCTCCTGGCACTCTGACAGATAACCGGGGCTAGCCCTAGTCTGGGCTCTGGGCAAGGAGTTGATACCATCTCCAGGCAGTTACGTGTCACGCTCCTGTGTGAAATGTTTCATGTGGAGCCTCAGCGGGCGGGGGTTGCCTCTTACATCTCCCCTTTGAAAGCTGTGCACACAGTGCTCATGCGCAGCCGTTTCTGGGACCTGTCACTAGATGGGGACCTGCTCACATATACTAAGCCTACCTCTCCTTTTGCATTACTTCGCCTTTTTTTTTTTTTTTAGCTTAAAACAACAGTAAATTTAGACAGAGTATATGTTTTCCCCTCTGCTTCTACAAATATTGCATTCCCAAGCACACACATTTTCTGGAGAGGAAAACTTGAGACTGAACCAACTTTCAGTCTGGTTGGTTTGGTTACGTTTGGTTAACAGTTTGGTTAACGGTTTGGTTAACATGGCTTCCGTAGAAGTTACTACTATAAAGCTAATTCTGGCCATGCACATTCACATAAACACTAATGTTATTGATTTCTTTATGTAATTTAGAGCACAGAAGGAGCCTACATTATACTCAAAATTAATGCCTAGTTGTTCACTTCCTAAGAATAAATCTATGCCAAAGGTTTTGAGGTAAAACTAATGTAATTTGACTGCAAAAAATACCTTTCGTCCTCCAGTTTTCCCTGAGCACTTAACATTGCTCATTTCCTTCCTTAAAATACTTGTCAGAAGTTGCCATCTACCGGCACAGTGTTTGCTCTTCAAAAGCATCTTCAAAGAAGGCTTGGTGGCTTGGAGAGAAGGATTTGCCCTCCCTGGAGACCAGCTAAATGCTGCTCCCATGGATAATCTCTAATCCAGGGCATTGTTCAGCATGGATGGGGAGGCCCACGGAGGTTTTCAAGGGTTACTGACCAAGTAGGCTGTCCGTGGGAAGGCTCATTCCCTGCTGCTTGCTTGGCCGCTCACCAGTGGAGCAAGCCAGACCTGCCTCAACTACTGCCAGCATTGCCAGGAAATAAATTGCAGTGCTCATGGTCAAGGGGCAAACCCCATCCCCTCTCGC